AGTAGTTAGTTTACTAGTTAGTTTAGTTACTTTACTAGTTAGTTTACTAGTTAGTTTATTAGTTAGATTAGTAGTTAGTGTATTTGGTAGATAAGTAGTTGGATACACTATAATTTTGGATACAATTTTATTTTTGGATGCACATTCAATTGTTTATATCTTGTACATTGTCTGCCTGGGTTGTATTCAAATTTGCAGGTATGTATATATACAAACATTGGGTACCCTGTATAAACAAAGCGTCCATTTAAAAAAAAAATTGACTTTCTACGTCGGTTCATACCATAACTGACGTAGTAAACACGTACTCGCTTGAGCAACGAAGTGTACTCGCTTGAGCGACGAAAGCTTCAAACAAAGGGGACTCTCGGGTCCCATCTCGCTTGAGCGACGAGTGTACTCGCTTGAGCGACGAGTGTACTCGCTTGAGCGACGAAAGCTTCAAACCAAGGGGACTCTCGGGTCCCATCTCGCTTGAGCGACGAGTGTACTCGCTTAAGCGACGAAAGCTCCAAACAAAGGGGACTCTCGGGTTCCATTTCGCTTGAGCGACGAGTGTACTCGCTTGAGCGACGAAAGCTTCAAACAAAGGGGACTCTCGGGTCCCATCTCGCTTGAGCGACGAGTGTACTCGCTTGAGCGACGAGTATACACTTTCAACGTCGGGTATAAATAACCGACGTTGAAAGCCTAAACTTTCAACGTCGGTTCTCCATACCCGACGTTGAAAGTGTATACTTTCAACGTCACCTGATACAACGTCGGTTGTATAACCGACGTTGAAAGCCTTATATAACCGACGTTGAAAGGCATATCTGTAGCAGTGTGTGTAAAAAATTGGTGGTGAAACTTTAGAAAGGGAACCTACAACATCAGATATAAATCTCCCGATTTTGTTGTCAGGTGTAACTCGTCCTTCGTGGGATGAAAAACTATTTATTACGATCTCAGAGGACAAGGTGAAGGATCAAAGAAGACAATATCATACCACAACATCGTCTACATATTTGTAGATATCATCAATCAAGACTAGTAGATGTTGCATTGATGCTTCCATCCCTTCTAAATTTGAGGGAATTTTGTCAAGTGCAGTTGTCTTAAGCATATCTGAGAAGTAGAATAACGATTATTATTTCAAATAATCTATTATTTCATAAAGATGTGGCAATGTTAAAATATTTTAGATATAGAATAATCGATTATTTTCATAAATAATCGATTATTTTTAGAGATAATCGATTATTTCAAAGAATTTGACAAAAGTGAAGATATATTAGGCACAAAATAATCGATTATGACCTTTGATAATCGATTATTTCAGAACAAATTATAAAATTCTTACTTTGTTTATGTTTTTACTTAGTTAGGATATTTTTAGTATACCTAATCTCTCCTCAGTTCATAGAATCTTTCTTTGGAAAGAGGTTTAGTAAATATATTCGTTAATTGATGTTTTGTATCTATATATTCAATTTTACAATTTCCCTTACTAATATGATCTCTTAAGAAATGGTGTCTAATCTCAATGTGTTTAGTTTTGGGATACATGATAGGATTTTTAGTAATATTAATTGCACTTGTATTATCATATTTCAAAGGAATGTCACTAAGAAAGATATTATAATCTTCTAATTGTTGTTTCATCCAAAGAATTTGTGCACAACAATTTCCAGTCGCTATATATTCGGCCTCAGTTATGGATAAAGCAACACAAACTTGTTTCTTAGAGTGCCAGGATACTAAGGAAGATCCTAATAGATGACAGATTCCACTAGTACTCTTTCTATCAATCTTACAACCCTCGTAATCAACATCAGAAAAACATATTAAACTAGGTGAAACACCAGAAGGATACCATAACCCAAAACCTATGGTTTGTTTAAGATATTTTAAAATTCTTTTTACTGCAGTTAAGTGAAATTCTTTTGGACAAGCCTGGAATCTAGCACACACACAAACAGATTGCATAATATCAGGCCTACTTGTAGTTAAGTATAATAAAGAACCTATCATACCTCTATACATAGACTGATTTATTTCTAAACCTGATTCGTCCTTATCCAAATAGCAGTACGTTCCCATTGGTGTGCTAGATTCTTTTACAGTATTTTGTTCGAGACACAAATGTGTCATCTTTTAATTGTTTAATTTGAAGTCCAAGGAAGAAGGTTAATTCCCCCATCATGGATATTTCAAATCCATTCTGCATAATACTTGCAAATCCTTCACATAGAGAGTTATCAATAGATCCAAAAATAAAATCATCAACATATACCTGAACTAACAAAATATGTTTACCTACTTTCTTAATAAACAACGTTGAGTCAATTTTACCTCTAGAAAAATTATTTGCTAATAGAAAATTTCTTAACATTTCATACCATGATCTAGGAGCTTGTTTTAATCCATAAAGTGTCTTTTTCAATTTAAAAATATGATCAGGGTATTTAAAATCTTCAAAACTCGGAGGTTGTTGCACATATACATCTTCTTTAATAAAACCATTTAGAAAAGCACTTTTCACATCCATTTGTTATAGCTTAAATTTCATCATTGAAGCATAAGCAAGAAGTAGGCATATAACCTTTAACCTGATAACAAGAGCATAGGTCTCATCATAATCTATATCTTCCTCTTGACAATATCCTTTTGCCACAAGTCTAGTTTTATTCTTAGTTATGTTTCCATCTTCATCAAGCTTGTTTCTAAATACCCAGGACAACGATGACTCAGGCAATGAAGATGATGACTACAGAGGATGATCCTATAAACCTCCTTTCTCTCCCAGTGGAAGATTTCAACCAAGTAAAGGTCCTTGGATAGGACTCCATCGCCAAGAGAAACCAAATCCCTCTTGGAAATACCAAAGATATGCTAAGATTCTTAAAGAGAAAGGTATCCTCTTCTAGAAACAAGAAAGGTGCAGAACCTTTGTCATGTCACCTCCTATTACTTCTTCCATTCCATGCATGATAATCAACTCGACAACTTACAAAAAAAAAATTTTTGCTATTGAGAGGAACGTTGATCTCGTGTCCAAGACGACAACAAAATCGCATGTTATCGGCCAAGAAGTCAGCCTTGATGAAAAGACAAAACCTTTAAGCTAGGCTGAGGAGGTACTCAATTAACAAACAAAAAATGTCAGAGCCCAGAACTCTATCTTGCAATGGATTGACCAAAAGATAGATAAGATCATTACACACCTTAAGGAAAATGATGATAAGCTCCAGTATCTCAACTCCACTATGAGAAAGTACTATAAATAACTTTCCTCAGAACTCTCAAGATCATAAAAAGATTGGAAGAATACCATCTTTGGAGAGCTATCTCACGCTAAAGAGAAAGAGAGCAGAAGCCTCAAGGCCCACATCCAAGAGATGGACAATTATATTGAGGCGAAAATCAAACAACAGAAAATAGAGAAAGATCCTTATTCATCCTTGTTTACTTCATCTCCAGCCTACTCCTCTTTCCAAAACTCGTCTCCATACTTTCAATCATCACCACAACTTCCTGGTCATTTACCTTACAGACCATGACCTAGACCAGTAGCACCAAAATCAAACAAAGACAAGAAGGTTGTCACACCTTCTCCAGAATCTTCTCTTGAATATCAACTTTCACCTAAAAAACAAGACCAGTTTTACCCAGTCTTCCAAGACTCAAGATCCATATTCTCAGATGACTATAGAGTTTTGTCCTACTCTAACTCTTACAGATACTCCTACAACTCTAACTCTTACGGATATTCCTACAACTCCAACTCCTCCGGATACTCCCAAAGATGCTTTATCTGCAAAAGGAAAGGACACTTCTTTAGGAATTGTCCCCACAAAGCCGAAAAAACCATAAAGCTCATCTTCACCCTCATGCTTGATGGCAATGATGATATAGAATCTCTCTATTCAAGACAAAACTCTACAAACGAAGAAAACATCTATGCATAAGATTTGTTTAAGTACATTAGATTTGTAAATCACATCTTCCAATATTGGAATCAATCTGCAACGGATTTATTTGGTTTAGTTTGGATTGAATTCTATTAAGCTTAAAACTCAAATCAATTTAATTGGTTTGGTTTAGATTTTTGGGTTCCCCCTCATTTCCTCTAGTTTGATGCTGTCCTTTCCTCTTTTCTTCAAATAAATTAATTTTAATATATGAAAAGGTTAATTTATTTTAATTTTTAATTTTTTCTCCAAACATTTATGGATATTTTTCTTTAAACATACTTTAATTGATTCAAAATCCTTGTTACACACCAAATGCACCCCTCCTTCTACACACTAGAGATTGACAATCTCCTTCCATAAGTATTTAAAAAAAAAAAAATTTCAAAGACAATTCACATGGGTGTTTTCTCCTAACCTCAACATCCACAATTTTTACCTAGAAAATTGCTTACCTCCATATCAAAATTAATCCACCCGAATTTCCTTTAATTTGTAACTTCCCATAAAAACCCATTGAAAATCCTTCGCCCCAACTTTCTTGTACTATTTTGTTTTTAGGGGTTGCTACCACTTAAAACATGAAAAACCATCTCAAAAATGCTATGAGAAAGAGGATTTGTTAGTTTGGGAACACTAATTTATGGTTCGTGAAGAAGCAAGCAACCCCTCCTCATCAATAATACAAGTGTGCATTATTGAAGCTCGTAGCACGTATTCGAGCATATACTCTTTGAAAGATGCCAAACGCAGAGGGACAAAAACGTTCTAAAGAAAAAACAGGGACAACAAAAAGCCCAAGAAAAGAGAACGTTGTTTTTTATTACTTGATAAACAATTACAGCACACATATCTTGGCCATCTTCCAACTTAAAAGTAGAAGAAAACTGACCCCTCACCCAACACATGCCCCCCCTAATCACGTTCATAATTATATCATTCTTTACATACAAAATAGAAGGTTTAACAATAATAAAAAGGAAAATGACAGAAAACATATAAAATTAAAAAACCATAAACTTTGCTCGGTTCGGGTCTTTTATCCCATTAGTTGGATTTGAAGGGAATGGCTCTGATTACGACTTGGTGGTAAAGAGCGGCAAGAGCTGCTCCAACGAAAGGTCCAACCCAGAAAATCCACTGTCCAACAAAAAGGCCAAGGTTGTAAATTACCTCATTAAGTAGGTTCTTGTTCAAAATTTACAAAGAAAAAGATTTTAGTAGAAAACATACGTGATCATCCCAACCAAGGTCTTTGTTGAAGATGATGGCAGCACCGAGACTTCGAGCAGGGTTGATACCGGTGCCAGTGATTGGGATGGTGGCCAAGTGCACCAAGAACACAGCGAACCCAATTGGCAAGGGTGCCAAAATCTGATCATTTCAAGAATATTATTAACACATGTATTTATTTTTTAATTTTTTCATTCATAATAAAAGGAGGGCACATACAGGAACGTGAGAGTCTCTAGCACTACGCTTGGCATCAGTGGCTGAGAAAACTGTGTAGACAAGAATGAAGGTGCCAACAATCTCAGCACCGAGTCCATCACCTTTAGTGTAACCAGGGGCGACGAAGTTGGCACCACCGTTGTGTTGGCCGAAGAAGGTTTTTCCCTCGAAACCTTTGACCACACCAGCACCAACTATAGCACCCAGAACTTGCATCACCATGTAGAAGATTGCCCTAGTCAAGGACAATTTCCTGGCCAAGAAGAGTCCGAATGTGACAGCCGGGTTTATGTGTCCCCCTGCATCACACACCAACACAAACCAACCATAGTGTTATATTAAGGGTCAAACACATGAATTGCAACAGCGTGTGTAAAGGAAGAGAGGAAGCGTGTATACCTGAGATTCCGGCGGTGCAGTAAACGAGAGCGAAGATCATACCGCCGAAGGACCAAGCAATGCCTTGAATGCCAACGGTTGAGCACTTGGAATCAGACCTATTGACTCCCATGACGGTTAAGATGGTTATGTAGAGGAAAAGAAAGGTAGCTACAAACTCAGCTATTCCGGCTCTGTAGAAGGACCAAGAAGTGAGTTCGGAGGGTTCGAATAGTGGAGCCGGGGGAGGCTCTTTGTAGTCCTTTCCATCGTCTTGGCTCTGAGCCGCAATCCCAATGGGTTGCCTCTCCGAGAATTTGTTTGCTCCCAGTGAAACATCTTGCTCCTTTCCCTCCATTTTTGCTCACTCTATTCCTCACACACACTTTTTCTCCCAATTTGTGGTTGTGGTGATGATGACGATGACGGGGTTTAGGGATTATTTATATGCAGACAGTGTTAAGATTGATGACAACAGAAAAATAGAAATTGAGGGTGAGTGGGGGTGGGGGTGGGGGTGGGGGTGGCTGGTGGGGCCTTACGATGTGGTGATTTCTTATCTTTTTGGCCGTCCAATCATTTTAGTTCATGAATTGGTTTGAAGGAGACTTAGTTGGAAGGGTATGATTGGAGCAACAGGCAGTGGTAGCGTCCTTGCTGGCACGCCTCTAACCACGCATTGCATGCCCCACTCACTTCCACATGCACAATATACAACATGGAATTCCATTTGGAAAGGTATAGACAACTGCCCAAGTTTTACCATTCAAACAAATGTGATATGAAATTTTAATATGTTTGGTATGCTGTGACGGTGATTGTACTAACATACTAGTTTTTAATTTTCATACCCCCCAACACTTTACACCCTCAACAACTAAATCACTAGTTTATTTTCTGACCAAAGCACAATTCTAGTAATTTACATTATTGGTAAAATATGTTTTATTGTTTTAAAAATAACACTTGTACTAAAAGTTCATTAGAAGCACGGGCACAATAATAAAAATAGTTTTACGACCAATTTAAATAAATAAATTTTTAATAGAACAATAATATATTTTCTCAATAAAATATTAATTTTAGGAACCAATTTAAATAAATAAATTTTTAATAGAATAATAATATATTTTCTTAATATATCTATTTCTCATAATTCATTAAAATAAAAACTTAAATAATTAGGAACTTGTTATAATAACTTTTAAATAATATATTCCTTAATATCATATATATATATATATATATATACACACACATTAAAATAAAAACTTAAATAACTTTTAAATAATATATTCCTTAATATCATATATATATATATATATAATTAATTAATCAAATAAATAATATATTTATAAAAAAAATATTTAAATATAATATTTTTAAGTTTATTTACTCATTGATACACAAACTTAAAAAAAATTGTTTGACATAATATAGTTATTTTCTTTTTTTCATTTATTTTTTATTTTTCTTTCTTTTCATTTATTTTTTATTTTCTTTTCTTTTCTTTTTTTCACTCCATCTTATTCTTCAATTAAAGTTAATATATTAAAATTTTATTACGTAAGTACTTTATTATTATTAAAAAAATAAAAATATTAAAATGATCTAGAAATATTATAATTTAATATATTATATAAAAATATATTATATGATAATTTTGAGATGTTACAAATATTACTATTATATTATGATTATTAAGAAAAAATTAAATATTTATTTTAAAGTATTTTTAATAAATATTTTATTAAAAATATTTAATTATCATAACTCAATCTAATTATAACTATATTAAAATATTAAATAAAAATATTTATTATTATCATAATTTTAAATATTTAGTTAATATTTTTTTAATTTTAATTTTATTTTTAAAATATTTGTTTTAATATATTTTTTCTAAATTTTAATATAGTAGTTTAATTAAAAAATAAGTAGAAAAAGAGAAAGAAAAAAAGAGAGATGTAAAATAGAAAAGGGAAAGATGAAAAGTGAATGAAAAAATGAGAAAAAAAAATTACGATGAGAAAGAATATAAAATTACATATAAACATTAAACCAATCTATTTAGATAAATAAATTTACATAGATTCTACTTTAATATTTTTTTTAAAATATATTGTTTTTAAGATTCATATTATATATATATATATATATATATATAATTCTAAATATATATATATATATATATATATATATATATAATTCTAAAAATATTAGGAGAAGTTGGGATAATATATATTGTAAAGGATTAATTGTTATTGAATGTTTTCTTCCAATATCATATAATGATTTAGTTTAAGTGTACTAATAACATTGTTACAATTTTATATTTATGTTTAGAATTAAGTTTTAATAACAAATGACAACTTATATAAAAAAAATACATTGAGCTTGATTTCATCTTATTTGAATTAACAGGATCAAAATGATTCAAATGAAAGAGTTGTGTACATCATTTATCATTATTGGTTTAATTTAATTAATGTAACCAATGAACAGTTTAATTAGGATGTTTGTCCTTGTTCCTGGTACATTAATTTCAACGTAGCATATACCATAAATATTATCAATATTGGATCGAAATTCCATATTAAAAATGTCCTGCCACCACCCACCTATTAAAAATATTTATCCTATGAGTTGTTGTTTTTTTTTTTTTAAATTAGCTTAATATATAGCTACATGATCGCGTGTTTGTCCACATTGTTAATATTAAATGGTCAAATCGACCTTGCATATCTACACATACTTTTGATCAAAATCTTCAAATTTAGAAATTCCTCTCTCCGTTTTAAATACAGATGAAGTTAAATATTAATTATTATCATTTTTATTTAATATTTTTATCATATTATTATTATTATTTTCTTTAATAAAATTATTGATAAATAATAATTAATATAATCGAAATTTATAAGTATCGTATCTTTAAAAATATTTGTTTGACTTAAATATATTTAATTTTGAAATGGAGGAAGTAAAAATATATTCGCATAAAGTGATTTTCTAAACATTATTAGCGATTTTGTTATTTTTCAAGTCGCAAAATAAATTAATTAGAATATGGTTAGCATATGTTGTCCAGCAATTAAGTTATCTAAGTTCTGCTACTTAATGTTTATTGGGTCAACAATAATGTGAGGTGGATAATCGATTGGGTTTATATTAATTAAGTTAAAAAGAATAAGATTTTTTTTATTAGTGATCTATTAGAGGATTATATTTATTTATATTTAAGTCCTTTAGAATAATAAGAGAATAAAGATAAAAAGACAGTTATGCTAAGATAAAAAAAAAAAAAAAAGTCAGCAAAAAAAGATAGTTATGCTAAGATAAAAAAAATTACCACAAAAATAGAAGAAGAACGAATTATTTAAAATAATTTTGTGGAGAAATTAGTTCGAAAAAGAGGTTTTATTGTCTTATTACTTTATATTTGGTTCTTTATTGTTTATTTAGATATCTGTTAGGGTTATCTGTTATCCACCTTATTGTAAAGAGAAAGTGTTTTGTTAATCCTTGGTGACTTTAAGAGAACTTGTGTTGTATCCATTAATTATAATTAGTGTAAGTTTTTGTTGTACTAGGTTCGTGAATTTTTCATTCACATTGAGGGTTTTCCCACGTTAACATTTGGTGCTTCTTATTTTTTGATATTATATATTTGGTGCACACTATCATTTATCTGTTACTTGATATTTTTGGAGCCTATTGTCATTTATACAAGGAAAAAAATTGGTTTTACTTTTACTTGCTCTAATTTTGGTATCTTTTCCAACAATTGGTATCAAAGCTCTGGTTAGGGATTTTGGTTTGTGCTCTGAAGATAGGGGATAATGATGGTGCTATAATTATAATTAAGTTGGATTCTTCCAATTACTCAATATGAAATACTCAAATGGAAGATTTATTATTTTGCAAAGACCTATATGATCTTGTTGAGGAGAAAAGTATTAAACTAGAAGATTTGGAGGAGATTGGAAGAAATTAAATAGGAAGATTATTGGTATGATTAGACAATAGATAGACCAATCTATTTATTATCATGTGTCTAGTGAGACTCTGACTTATAATTTATGGAAGAAATTGAGTTGTTTAAGTCTAAAAATTCCTTAAATAAGGCATTCTTGATTAGGAAACTTGTAGATTTGAAATATAATGATGATTCCTCTTTGGTAGAACACTTGAGTTGCTTTCAAAATATAGTGAACCAATTAATCACCATGGAGATTGAGTTGGACGATGAACTACTTGCATTGTTGTTGCTTAGCTCATTACTAGACAGTTGGGAGACATTAGTGATAATTTTAAGTAATTATGTTTCTAATGGAAAATTGACTTTTGACATGATCAAGAATAGTCTTTTAAATGAAGAAACTAGGAGGAAAGGAAGTTTCCAGGTTAACTCATCTACACAAAACAAAGCTCTAGTATTAGATTCAAGGGGAAGAAATCAATATAGAAATTCTCCTACATTTTATGACCGTAAAAAGTCAAGAGGAAAGTCAAAAGAAAGGAAAAATATCACATGTTTCCATTAAAATAAATCAGGACATATGATCAAAGACTGCAAACTCCTTAAGAGACAAAGATAAAGAGATAGAGACAAGATTAATATAATAATAAAAGAGAAGATAGAGATAAAGACGCTATTGTAGTTATATCTGGTGGTGAAGTTGTTATTATTTATGATGATGAATCAGCTAATCTCACCTCATTTCATGTTGATTTTGCTGCCTCATTTCATGTTACACATCATCATGAATATTTCACTTCCTACACTGCTATATATTACACATCATCATTAGTTCACATTAATGTTTGCTTTATGGACTAAATTAATCAGTGGTTACACTTATTTTGTTACTTTTATTGATGATCATTCTAGAAAGGTTTGAGCTTTTGTTTTGAAATCCAAAGATCAACTATTTGATGTGTTCAAGCATTTCCATGCAAGTGTTGAAAGAAAAATAGGAAAGTTGTTGAAATGTGTTAGAGCAGATAATGGAGATGAATTTTGAGGTCCATTTGAGCATTATTGCAAATAGCATGACATCAAGCTTGAGAATACAGTTCTAAAGACCCCTCAACATAATGAAATTATAGAGAGAATGAATCGCATAATTAATGATAGAATCAGGTGCATGCTCTCTCATGCGAAAGTTGCCTACAACCTTTTGGGGTGAGGCCTTAAGAAATGTAGTGGACTTGATCAACTTATCTCCATCCATTCTTTTTAATGGTGATGTCCCTAAAAGTGTGTGGAAAGAAAAAGATGTTTCTTATAATCATTTGAGGGTATTTGGTTACAAGGCATTTGTCCACATCCCTAGAGATGAAATATCTAAACTTGATGGGAAATCTAAACAATGTATTTTTTTTTTAGGTTATAGTCATGATTATTTTGGTTACATATTTTGGGATCCGGGTAATAAGAAGATTGTTAGAAGCCGAAATGTTGTTTTTCTTGAAGATCAGACCATAAAAGATATTGACAGGAAAGAAACGTCAAGACATATTGCTCTTGAGTGTTGAGCCTGAACCTTCTATCAGTGTTATTAATCATGGGGGATATGTGAATGCAGGTTTGGAGAATGTAGATAATATGTCTGAGACTCAAGCCAATGAACCAACTGAATTAGTTCTTCCTGAACCTCGTATGGAACCCCAATTGAGAAGATATACTAGAGTGATTTGTCCTTCTCAAAAATATTCACCTCATGAGTTTATGTTGTTAACTAATGGGGGAGAGTGTAAAAGCTATGAAGAAGTTATGTTACATAAAGAGAAAGACAAATGATATACAACCATGCAAGAAGAGATGAAATTTTTACATGAGAATCACACATTTGAGTTAGTGAAGTTGCCTCAAGGCAAGAGAGCACTTTGAAATAAATGGGTGCTCAAACTGAAATCAGAGAAGAATAACTCAGCCAATATATAAAGTAAGGTTAGTGGTGAAAGAATTTAGTCAGAAGAAAGGTATTGATTTTGAAGAAATATTTTCACATGTGGTCAAAATGTGTTCAATTAGAGTTGTACTTGACTTGACAACAAGTTTAATTTAGAAGTTGAGCAACTTGATGTGAAAACAGTCTTCCTTCACGGTGACTTGGAGGAAGAGATCTATATGGAGGAACCTGAAGGTTTCACAGTCAAAGGCAAAGAGAATTTTGTTTGCAAGCTAAGAAAGAGTGTGTGGACTCAAACAAACTCCAGGACAATGGTATAAGAAGTTTGACTCCTTTATGATGGATCATAGGTATGGTAAAACCTCTTTTTATAATTGTGTTTTTATTAACAAATTTTCTGATGGAAGATTTATTATTCTCTTTATGTTGATTACATCTTGATTGTTAGTCATGACATGAGATATTCAAAGTCTTAAAAGATAATTGAACAAGTCATTTGTAATGAAGGATTTGGGTTCTGCAAAGCAAATCTTTGGCATGAAAATTGTTCGTGACAGGAAGAATGGAAAATTATGGATATCACAACAAAAATATATCGAGAAGATATTAGAGAGATTTAATATGAGTAATTCTAAATCTATCAGCACTCCACTTGCAGGTCATTTTAAGTTCAGCTCAAAACAGTGTTTTACAAGTGAGAAAGAGAAAGAAGAAATGCAAAAAATTTTATATTCATTTGTAGTTGACAGTTTAATGCATATTATGGTGTGTATAAGGCTAGACATTGTTCATGTTGTTGGTGTTGTTAGTTGTTTCTTTGCTAATCCAGGTAAAGAGTACTGACTAGCTATGAAATGGATACTTAGTACCTCAAAGGTATTTTTGGAGAGTGTTTATGCTTTGAAAGTGGTAAGCATGTGTTAAATGGTTACATATATATACATGGTTGGTGATGTAGATTCTAGGAAGTCTACTTCTGGATATATGATGACTTTTGCAGGGGGAGCAGTGTCATGGCAGTCCATATTACAAAAATGTGTTGTTTATCTTCTACAGAGGTAGAATATATTGTTATTACAAAATCTGCAAAAGAACTCTTGTGGATGCAAAAAATTCCTACAGGAGGTAGGACTTTCACAAGAAAAATATGGTTTGTATTGTGATAGTCAAAGTGCAATCCATCTCAGCAAGAAATTGACCTTTTATTCAAGGTCAAATCATATTGAGGTCAGATATCATTGGATCAATGATACGTTGGAGATGAAACAATTATCATTGGAGAAGATCCACACAAATGAGAATGACTCAAATATGATAACAAAATCCTTACATACTGAAAAATTTGTTATCTACAAGGAGAGAGTAGATTTGGTAAAGTACCCCAATTAATCGGTGACGGGGAGATTTGTCAGGTGAGTCACCAATTTATTGGGTCCATACTGACTAAGTTAAAAAGGAATAAGAATATTTTTTTTATGGATTACTAGTCCATTATAGGATTATCTTTATTTGCATTTGAGTCCTTTAAGGCAATGAGAGAATAGAAGACAAAAAGACAGAAAAGGGTATCTGACGAAATGCATAAAGAAGTCACTATGAAAATAAAAGAAAAATGTATTATTCAAAGTAACTTCGTGCAAAAAAAGTTAGTTTAGAGAAAAGATTTTGTTGTTCTCGTTACTTTGTATTTGATTCTCTATTGTCTTCTTAGATACTTGTTATTCATTTTGTTGGTGAAGTAAAAATGTTATATTAATTTTTGGTGACTTAAAAAAACTTGTATTGTAGTTATTAATTATTATTAATGAAATTTTTTGTCTCACTAGATCTATAAATATTTTCTGAGTTTTCCTATATTAAAAATTGATGTTTCTTGTTTTTTTATATTGTAGTACACAGTTATTTATATGTTAATTGATATTTTGGAAGCCTATTCTTATTTATACAGGAATACAAAAATCTTGGGTTTTACTTTTTGGTATCATCCCCCAACAGGTTGGCATATGCTGTACAGCAATTAACTTATCTCACGTCTGCTACTTAATGTTTATTCTCAATTAGAATAGTTGTTCCAACTCTGCACTTCTTAAATCCCTCTTGTGTATTTTGTTTCTATATAGAGGACCAGACAATGAATAATTAAACCTACATATACTTTCATGAGCTGCTACTGTGTACGTTAGGTACATGTTCTTTATGAAGCACAAGATAAAATCAATTGCAGAATTAGAGAAAATAGATAGAATAAAAAAAAAGTATTTTAGTGATTATAAAGAACAGTGATTTGCAGCAAAAAGGAATATTTAAATTTTGTTTCAACGGCTATAAAAAGCAGGAAATACAAACCATGCACTTAACATACTATAATGATTAACTACTTTCATTAGTTATTAATAGACATGCAAAGTTGTTATCACAAAAAACAAATTAAATATTCTTATAATTTGTTTTTTAATAATGCTACCTAATATGTGTTAATTCAGATCCTTGTCTAGTATTCCAACGACTTGTCAGTGATAGCATTAATAAAAACAAATGATTTCTGATTGATCGCTTTGCCTCTTACAACCCAATTTTTGGAAGCTTGGAGTTTTTCTTCATTATTGTGATCTGGCGATAGCAAGAGTCACTGGTAGATGGATTATGTTCTGTTCAAATCACAGTAGCAATAACCTTCTTGCTTCTTCTAACCTCTGTTTTTTATGCCGACCATGAAAGAGTAAAATATATTAGAATGTACTTTTAATATTTGCAATCTTCGTAGTATTATTGATGTTACTTAAATAATAAAAAAATCCAGTGAATACAAAATTATAATATGAAATACCAGAAAAAAAAAATATATCACTCTGATACACTAACGTTGTTAAGTAAAATCGTTGATTTGCATAATAATTATTTTAAAATAAAATACAAGATGAATTCTTATTAGTATAGAGTCTAAAATTTTTAGATTGATAATGTATCAAAAATAAATTTTTTTACATAACTAGCGCTCTTGAATTTTGTTAAGAGGTGTATCTTCTTGGGAGTTAAGGAGGCTGTGATCGATCCAAAGTTTTATAATTCTTATGTAATTTATGATTTTGGTCGCTCAAATTTAATAAGCATTTAATATATTTACTTGTATATTTATAATTTTATCCTCTTAGCTACTCCTTAATTTTGTAAGCTACTCATGTAATTTATGAGCTTTGTCACCTTAAACTTAATGATCATTTAATATATTTAAATATATATTTACAATTTTATCTTTTTACCCTTTCATCTTCTTTCTTCCTATTATATTTATTTATTATTTATTAATAATATATTATTTTATATTTATTTATTATTTATTAATAATATATTATTTATCCGAATATCAATGTTGAATATACTTCACTGTTTTTCACTATACTGATACAGTTGTCTCTTTCAATCGATAGCAACGTTGGCCACGATAATTGAATAATTAATATATACACAAAACTTTTGGACGTGTGATATATTTTCTGTTCTCAATGTTGACAAATTATTGACGAAAGATTATTAAATTATGTAATAATTCTTCACCGTACCGTCAAATAAATTAGGGCCACAAGTTTCAAAGTATATACTTTTTTAATTAGAGGTGATATCAATCTTGACTGTTGATTTTTGCTACGTGAAAAATTCGTAGCCGCACACTCATTAAATCACATGCTGAATAATACCATTATCCCATTTTGTTATACTTTTATTTCTATTTCCTTTTTCTTCATTCTTCTTATGACATGTATGTTCTTGTGTTTTTTTAACCTTTCTTTGCATTAACAAGGTTGAAACTACACAAATCCATGTTGTTATTCTATTTTACCCTTTTCTGGAGAGGAAAAGGATAAAGCAGAGTCTTCGTATTGAGAGTTATTATTAGTAAGTTATTCCTTTTTCTTTCAATCTCTATTTTCTTCCTATAAAAAGCATGAAGGGTCTTTTGCTTCTCATTTTTAAAACATCGCCTTTTGAATGAGCTGGGCCTAGTAGTTGGGCCACCATAGATTATGAATCCTCTTCAATAAGACGACCCACTAAACATTGAGGGCACCTTAGCCCGTCAAGATTTATACATGTACACAGCTTCAAATTTATGTGTCATAAACGTTACAAAATTCAGAAGTGATTTGTGCTAGTAACTAAATGCCCACACAGTAGAATACTACACTTCAAAGGGATTAATAGAATCAGTGAAAACAGGACCTTATTAATGCTTTTATTTTTAATATTTGTAATTTTTTATCAATATTAGAAATATTAATTTACTTTTTTGGAAGTAATTAAATTTAAGAATGGTATTAGTTTTGTTAGGTCGCTTAATTTTCACCCGCCCACTCACGGAAAAAATATCTATTTCATTTTACCTACTATTATGTCATTTTTGTTTTTCAGTTCTCTCTCTTACGCAATCTTATCCCTTATCTTCTCGAACTCTTGAACCTCTCTTCTTCTCCACTGATAGGCTCCTCTCTGCTTCATCACTGATTAATCTCCTCTATGCTTTAATAATCACGTTTTTCTTTTTATTTTGTAGGGTTCATGTCAATCGCATAACAAGGGAAACGATTTCTGAAAGATAAGTATTTTTTCCTTTCAGCATACATCTTGTCATATTAACCAGTGTCTTATTTCTCCTCTCAGTCAACCTATTGTGTTAGGGTGTATACGGTGCAGTCACCTTATGCATTATCCCTTTCTCTTCACATAAACTGCCAAACTCCTTGGACATATACTCTTCACCTCCATCTGTTTTGAGAACTTTTACCTTCTTCTCGGATTGCCTCTCAACTATTGCACAAAATTTCACAAATGCAAAAAACACATCTCCCTTTTCTTTCAGCAGATAAATCTAGATTTTCCTTGAAAACTCATCCACAAAGGTGAGGAAATATCTATTTCCTCCTAGTGTAGGTGTGTCTAAAGGACCACACACATCCGAGTGCACAACCTCCAATATCTTCTTGGTCATTTTCGGTGCAGTGGCCTTAAAAGCCTTTCTAGGTTGTTTTCCAACCACACACCCTTCACAAACCTTAGTTGGTAGTGTGATCTTTGACAATCCACTCACCATCTTTCTACTGCGGAGTTGATTCAGGCTATTGAAATTCAAGTGACCGTATCTATAGTGCCATAGCCAACTCTCTTCCTCTACACTAGTAGCAGATAGGCACTGAATTTTAGTGGTATTCAATTTCACCTTGAATGTTCTGTTCTTGGATAATGGAGCCTTGATCACTAACCTCTGTTGTGAATCAATGATCTCAATAAACTTCTGTTCCATGTTCATGGTAAAGCCCTTCTCCAATAGTTGTCCTAGGCTGAGTAGGTTATTCTTCATGCGTAGAACATATAGAACATCATTCATATAGGCCACTTTACCATCATTTTTCGTAATCATCACCCTTCTAATTTCCTCTTTCAAAATAGAACTGTCATCTGTAAATTTTACGTTATTCCTCACACATGGGTTGAGATCAATCAACCAGTTTTTGTTTTCAGTCATGTGATTGGAACAACCTGTGTCCAAATACCAAGCTATATTGTCCTCCTCGTTGTCTGTTGTGGCCATTAGCAATATTTTATCAGAATCAGATTCATCACCTTCCTCTTGTGCCATATTTGCTTCTTCTTTCTGCCCATTCTTTGAAGTGTCTTCATGCCAACATTCATAGGAATAATGTTCATACTTGTTGCAGTTATAGCATTGTATCTTTCTCTTGTCATAAGGCTTCATGCCACCTTTTCCTCTTCCTCTATTCTGATTCTCACCTTTGCCTCCAAACCCAATTTTAACATAATTGTCTTGAGTCATTGCATTATTGTTTTTGCCACCAGATCTTCCTTTAGATTTTCCTCTGCCTCTTCCTCTTCCTCCATGACTCACCTTGGCCTGTAATGCTTGCTCTATCTTTTCACCATTCTTCCTTTCATTCACTCTTTGTTCATGTACTTCGAGTGAATTTTGCAGTTCCTTCATTGTCATCTCATCAATATCTTTTGACTCCTCTATGGCCACCACAATGTGGTCAAACTATGGGATTAAAGTCTTCAACACTTTCTCAACAATTTTGTTGTCTTTTATGCTCTCATCACATGCCCTCATGCCATTAGTAATCACATGTAACCTCCCAAAATATTTAGCTACTGTCTCCTTCTCATTCATGGCAAGAAGTTCATATTGTCTCCTTAAAAACTGCAGCTTCACCTTTTTCATTTTCCCAAAATTTCCATACCCATTCTGCAAGATTTCCCAATCCTCCTTTGTTCTTTTTGCCTTAGAGATTTTCTGAAAAATGTTTGTTGCTACACACTGATACAATAACACCCGGGCTTTGCAATCCAGTTTCTTCATCTCCTTGTATGTTTTCTTGGTCCCTTCATCTACGTGTTTAGATGGTTCTTTGAAACCTACCTTTATAATCTCATCAATTTCTTGGAAGCCAAGAACCGCCTCCATCTTCATGCATCAATCATCATAACATTTCCCATCAAATATAAGTAGATTTCTAGGTATCAAATTTTCACCAGCCATGAGTATAACACACAACTACACTCCCAAGATTCCTTCTTTTTTAGACTTGCTCTGATACCACTCTGATGGGTCGTTTATTGTTCACCAGTCCATTCACGGAAGAAATATCTATTTCATTTCACCTACCACTCTGTCATTTCTACTTTTTAGTTCTCTCTTTTCTGCAATCTTATCCATTATCTTCTCGAACCCTTGAATATCTCTTCTTCTTCATCGATCGGTTCCTCTCTGCTTCACCATCGATTAATCTCCTCTCTATTTTACTAATCGTATTATTTCTTTTTATTCTGCAGGGTTCATGTCAATCGCATAATAAAGAAAATAATTTGTGAAAGATAAGTATTCAAAATAAAAAACTTTATTAATTTCTATTAGTCTCAACGATTATGATTTTAGGGTACAAATAGGCAATAAATTTAAATATTAAAACGTTTATCTACATTATCAAAGTCATAGTTTAAAAACGCAATTTTTTTAGTTTTAACAACTTTTTTTTTCCCTTAAAATATGAATAAATTCAAAATATTTCATAAGATAATATCTATCATCTTCTTGGTAGAAAAACTTTCATAGAAAACCTAACATGTGCGGAATTCAATGATCTAATTTTCTCTCTTAAAAGTCGAAGATTCTTGTACTCCCCATGTAGCCATATTTGACTAAATTGAAACTTGGAAACATTCTTCGAACCTTCAACAGAAACCATGACTAAGTTTCTTTGTCTGGTGGGTATTTTTTTATTTTTATTTTTTTCCATGGTTGGTGGGAGAGGGAAGAGCTGTAGCTGGCTTTGCTGCTCAATAGAATATATAAAATCTTATTATACAAACAATAATTACACATTAAGCCACGTTCTAATTTAATAGGCACACACTACACACGTCTGTAAATAGTACATGGTTATAAAAATGTGTAGTTTTTACCAACCATCCATTTTTTAACTACAATCTAAAACAATTTCTCATTATTTTAATATTATTTTTTATAATTCCAAACTAAAATTCTGGCTAAAAACTAATAATTTTAAATTTCTATTTTTTTTAATAAAAACAAATATAATATTGGTTATTTTATAATACGGGAAAAATTTTCAAGTGAAATAAATAAGTAAATAACAAAAAAAAATTATGGATGAAACTGATTTCAAAACAATATTTCTTAAAAATAAAAAATAAAAGCTGTTTCAATTATAAGCTTATTGTATAAAAATTAATATTCCAATTTTCATTTTGAAGCGCCCAATGTTATATTTATTTTTCGAAAAAAAAAAAAATTTTTGATGGTCTTTTAAATTCTATTCTATCTATACTCCAATCCAAAGAAATTAATCAAGAAGAAGCCCTTAAAAGTAAGGACTCGAAGCATTTGTTCAAAAATAACTTTTTATATATCTTACACGGACCAAGCACATTACAAAATTTAATCCACTTTTGTTTAAAAAGAGAAAAAAAAAAAAAAAAATTTCTATATTACATATTTTGTTTTTCTTTTTTCCGACGTGTGAAAGTCTCTTGTAGATCTCTCATTTTTACCGTTTCTTGTTTCATGGCCATTTATTATCGTTATTATCCCAGAAGTATCCGAGAAAAGTCTTGGCGGCATCCAAGCTTGGAAAGTACGTCGGTTCAAGGAATATCTGAGTCAACGAGTCACCCGTGTCGCAACTCAGTCCAACTCGGTTGCCGTTAGCCTCCGAGCTTCCCATCAACACCGTCAAAACTTGTTTATACGCGTAGAAGAACCTCTTCATCGCCGCCTCAATCGCCTGCATCGCCTGCAACACGTGAACCTTCTCGAATGCGCTCTTTGAGACGTAGAGTTTCATCGCCGCTTCTTGAATCCTCGGACCTCCCTTTGGATCGACCTCCACCTCCAATATCTCCGGCACCTTGTGCCTCAGATCTCTGCACATCTTCGTAAGTTCCACCAATTCCTTTGATCTGAAGCAGAACGATGCCGTTTCGCCGCGCACTGAGAGCTGGTTCTTCAGCCGCAGGAATTCGTCCGGATCCATCATCAGGTGGAGATCCTCCACCTCCGCGAGAAGCTTCCAGATCCGCTCCACCGCGTGGCAGTCCTCCGCCGCCTGCTCCAACCTTCTAGAGAGAATGGCGTCCGAGATCCTCTCCAGAAGCTTCCGCGACGCGTAGATCCACGACTCGGCGATCTGGTGCGTGGCATGCACCGCGTGATTCTCATGGTTCTCCACGCGCTCATCGTACGGCGTCGTTTTAAGAGCGTGGATTTCGCTCGGTTTGCACACGTGGTCATAGAGCAGGTTCGGTTTCCCCGCCAGGTTCGACTCTCCCAACCCTAGGGTGTAGCTACACCTCCTCATTTGGCATTCTATGGTGAGAAGAATCCTCTGTGCCACATCCTTGGATTTGTACCAAGTGGCAAGCCGCGGAAGAAGGCTGGCCTCGCTGTAGCTTCGGCTCTTGCTGTTGTTTATGGCATCTAAACTGAGATCAGCTGTCGGAACAGTGCCACGTGTCTGAGAATTTTGTTCCTCGTCTTCGCATAGCATGGCTATGATCTCAATCTGATGAATAGCCAGGGACTCTATCCTACGGTTCCATTCTGTGTGGTTGGAATGAGGTCTGGGATCGGAGAAAACAAGTGAAAGTAAGCGGAAAGTGATTTCTAAAGCTTGCAAGGCAGGTTTCAATATCGATTCATTGTTCCAATTGGGGAAGTCTCTTGAATTCCAAAGGCTTCTGAGTTGTGGAAGAGAGAGATAGTAATCGTATGCAGCACATAGTGAAGGTGCAGCGGGAGAGATATCTGAGGTGCGGAAAGGTAGTTGCAGAGAGGGTAAGGACTTGGTGGGGAGAGAGAGTTTAGGAGACTTGGAGGACATGTCCGAACCTGGCATCTTTGATTTCCAATGTAAATCAACCATTTTGTGAATTTTCTTTTTATGTTGAATGAGAGAAGGAAATTGGTGTTGTGTTGAGGAATTGAAATGGGGGAGGGAAGAGGGAAGGGTATTTATATGGAAAGAAGGAGAGGAGTGATGGTGTGTGAAATTTGAAAGACGTGTGGACTGGGAATGTTGGGGGCATGAAGCAGGAGGTATTTGAAACTTGAAAGTCGCCGTGGTTTGAAAATGATTTTAATTTACAGTAAGTAGTTTAGGATTAAGAATATTAATTTGAAGATGAATTAAGGAGAGGGGACAGTATTTATCTTGTGGTAGAGCGGCAATACAAAATTCAAGCTTATCCGTAACTCAAGGACAAGAAACAAAATCCTTTCCGTTTACTTTGAATTAATAATCATTTTTAAATTATATTGGGAGAGTGTTTGATTTGGGGGATAGCCACCGCTTTTTCAAAATCCTGCTGCAGCGGTGTGCCCAATCATTCGCGGTCGGTCAAATTATGTAATAAGGGATGGGCCTAAGCATGGCAAGGTCCATGTCACTTGCTCCATCAATACTATACTGAATTAATTTTATTAAATAATATATTTTTAAAAATCATTTCTAATCTTCTTTTCCAACCTATTTTTCTTTATTTGTAAAACTTGCAAGAACTACATAAAATACTTATCACCTTTTTTTTTCAAATATGTAATAATAACCCAATTATATTGTGTTCATCATCGGAGACATGTACAAATTTAACTGAAGCACACTTTGAATCTGAAAAAAAATAATTCATAAAGTAACAAACAAGTCTTAATCCGACTGAAAATAATAATAATTAAAAGAAAAACAAATTCACCACGGTTCTAACATACTGGCCTAATTCTGAGTTTCTTACTTAAACTCAGTTTTAAGTCAAATGCATGAATAGTTTGTTTGGCCAGATGCATAGTAATAAGTATATCTGGAACATAAGTATGGAAGCAAGAACATAGTGGATAAGGTAGATTCCTTAAAGAGCATGGAAATGTAAAGAGTAGACTAGATAAGTAGAATGGGAATGTTTATTTAGTACGGCTGGGTCAAGTTTATTTTATTTTTCATTCCATCACTAATACAATGGCGTGGTACATTCATTGGGAGCACTTCAATAAAGGCGTAACTCGGGACACTGGAATCATCAGTCGCCAAAATTTGTGGGAAAACGACTGCGCTCACTCCGCATCCTTTGCTTCTTTTCTCCAATTTATTAATAATATTATTACACTCTCTAACTATCGGTAAAATTTTAAGTGGTATTAATAAAGATTTATATTTTAATGTTACGAATGAAAAAATATTATTAAAATAAATTCATTTTTTACATCGATAAAAATGAATTAATAAAATTGAATTAGAATATCATAATGACAATTTTCTCTCATTTTTTGTAAATTGAATTAGAATATCATAAACCCACTGGCAACTACTTTTATTTTCTAATATTCCTATTAATCATAATAAGATTTCGTACAGTGTGAATAATTTTTGAGCAAAAAAATATCCGTGGAATTCACCAACTTTGTCTCATGCTGTCAGAAGATATTTCAGTATGAGCCACATTTCATCTTTTATAATGCAGAAAAAAAAAAATCATTTACGATAAAAACAACACGAATTTGAATTACATTACACCGATTAAACTGAGCGTGCCCCATCAAGAACAACTGGCAATTCATTTTACAAGTAATTTTTTAACACCATTTTACAAGTAAAGATGAGTTCACAACTATTCTCAGAATCAGAGTAATTCATTTTACAACTCTAATATAAATTTATCACACTGTTCTAATATTTCCACGATACCTTATTATTATTATTATTATTGATAAAAATATTAAATATTCTTTATAAAAAAATTTAAATATATTTACTTTAAAAATTTTAGTTTTTACTATAGAGTGTTCATTTCACTTCAAAATGTATTATTTTTAAATATTTAACTAGTTTGGAAACCTTTTCCATTTTTTCAAAAGGATATGTTATCGTTTTTAACAATACTCTTATTACTGTTTTGAGGATGATTTTTTTTTTTTCAAAAGAGGGTTAATCCTTTAACTACGGAGTTTCTTCGTTTTTAAGTGCTAACCCTGTCTTCCTGGTTTTTAAGTGTTACATTTATTATAAAAGCAGGTTACACAGATATATAAATTAGAAAGGGAAAAAAGAAAAGAAAAATGAAAGTGGACGAAGAAACCGTTTAAAGGTAGATGATTAAACAAAACAAGTTATAGAAAGAAGGAACAGCACACATATTCTTTCATTCATGAATCTAATTTGCCATGCCATGTCCCACTACGATGACTCTCTTTAATTTGTTTGACTTCTGACGTTAATTTTCTCAATTCAAATTCCATTCTCTATTTTGCACCCTTGTAGGGCTGGATCCCTCCCATTTTGTTACTATTTCCTATGAGATTTTACACTGCTTATATTTAATTTTCCAATACCCGTATTTAATTATGTAGGTAAATGAAATTAGACCTCTCTCAAAATTTGAAGTTTGTGCCTTAAAATATAATTAAGAAAACTTTGACAACAGTTGTTTGACGCGGTGGTGCACGCACGCTGTCGGCGAAAGGTAGACACATCAGGTTGCTTCCACGTGTCACCGGATTGTTTGCTATTTGGGCAGAGTTAGAATGACGACACAAAGTTAATTTCATATTTTGACCAGTTATGGGATATTATAAATTTTATGATTCACTAACATTGTTATTGTTTTAGTTTTAATAATAGCTAATTTGATTTAAAATGGATTTTGTGGATTGTTATTTGTTTAATGAGATATCGATAAGGATAAAGCAATGTGGGAAGGTTGGAATGGATGGAAAGAATGACGTATGGTAGTTTGACTTGGTTGAGATTGAAAACGTGTAAATGTTGATAGGATTGGGAGAGGTTCGGCAAATTGGTGGCAAACAATAGCATGTTTTGTGGCGGAGTACATGGGGCACTCAATGGATCAACACAATTACAATCAATCATTCAACCAGTACACATTACTTTGTCATTCTATCATTCACCAAATTATCTTGCATACTGTTGTCAAAAATTATAATAAGGTGGTGTAATGGTTGGTTTGGTGTTTGAATGAAAGATAATGTTGGCGTGAGGGACACCCAACTTGGCCCCATGATCCATGAGTAGTAGGATGAAGTGGAGATAAAATATATCCCCGTCAGATATACATAGAGTAGATAGAGACGGTATTAAATACAGTCTCTTTGTTTTTTCTTTTTTGCATCACCAAAATTTGATAGAATTATAGATATGTTAGAATCCTAGATTCGTCCAGCCAAATAAAAGCAACAAGAAAAAGATGAAGAAACAAAAAGAGAAGATAGTGGCGTGCACTTGCCCCGAGATTTGGTATATCCAGTCTCTTCCTCTATTTCAAATATTATTCAGGCCCATATCATAAATATTTACTTTTTTTTTCTTTTTCTTTTTTTCTGATCAACAACAACAAGAAGACGTTTCTTTTGGGTATGTGATCGGTGGTAGATTCTCCATGTGTGACTTGTTTGTGTGATTTGGCTTCGAATTTCAAACGCAGCCAACAACACTGAGAATTATTTGGTGCGCTGAGTTTTTGGACGTGAGGATTGAATGCAAAACCATTCATTGCCCTTTCATTTTCAATCCCTTTCTTCCCCAGTTGGCAGTTGGGTGACACATCCAAGGATGTTCTCATTTTAACTCCGCATATCTTCTCCACTTTACACCTCATATTACAACTTATCTTCACTTTAACTCCAACAAATGCTTGGAACCAATTTTCAGTAAATATACGCCAAGAAATCTTGTCATTTTATTAAAGAATTCGAAAGTAGTATTTCTATCCAAAGTGACATCATGACATGATAATACTGTAATTCTTTGCATAGGTAAAGGTATTTAAATTCAAATATAAAATGTATAAGAAAATACAAAGAATCTTTGATTTTTCACCTTTTATTGGGTCTCAATGTGGGTGGGTTACCATTTGTTTAGTCAAACATGACCATGAGCCTTTTATATTTTCAATGAAGTGGGATATAATTCCAAGTTCCAACAAACTCTTAAGTTATGTGGAATTTAACAAATTTCAACTGTCAGAAGTATTAGTGTCTAAGCACTACTCTTCACTAAAAAAACAGAGTTATTTATTATATAAAGAGTAACTAAAATAGGCATAATAGAAAATTATCAAAATGGAAAATAACACCTAAACAAGAAAAAAATCTATTTTACCAAACCAGACAGCAGTATTTAAACTAGACTCAATATAACCATTGATGACAACTTAATCAAACAAACTAAAGCCCATGTCATCGTCAGATTCTTCTGGTTCTTCCTTCTTTTCCTCCTCCTTGGCGGCATCGGCTGGAGCAGAACCAGTATCAGGTGCGGCGGCAACAGCTACTGCAAATTTACTAGGATCCTGCAATCATCATGTCAATGGTTACTGAGATGAAAAATGAAAATAATAACTCAACCAACGTACTTTTTGTTTTTCAACTACCCTAATTAAGATTTATAGCTTTGAGGTGAGATTGTGAGCTACGTCCACAATCTTCAATCCTTTAAAAAATTAGTTCTCAGTTCAAAATTTTAGTATAACACATATATGAAACTCCTCATCCTTTCTAATATAATGTATTATATGGAAAATCGAACAAGTTTTTTCCAACAAACTACACGTTTGTTGTCAATTAAGTTACATCAGATAATATACACACTTTTTTTAATATACAGATTTATTAAAAAGGGTGAGATTCACAAGATATTATAATTTTCAGTCGATTAGAAAAGAGTATGATAAAAAAAGTTGTATGCTCTTGTTTTTCTGTCTAAGCTAATGGTGAATGGCAAAGAACACTTAAGTATTGGAGACAATATACCTTCAGGTACTCCTTAACCTCGTCAGCCTGGGGGAACGAATATTCTGTGGCCACTGCAACAGAGAGGACGTTCTTATAGGCATTGACAAACATGTGTGGTGCAGCTGCAATTGTTGGGTACGAGATAGCCAAGGACAGTGAAGAGACCATGGAGACACCAGCAGCAAACATATTAAGGAGGTCATCGTCAGTGAGGTCAAGAACCTCAGGGCTAAACACCGAACCATTGTCATAAACAGAAACCACAACAAGCCCATAGGAGAAGGGCCTTATCGCAAGCTTCGAAAGCAATGCAGCTTCAGAAGACCCCACCTTCTCACCCTTCCTAATGAGTTCCACAGGGGTGATAATTTCCACAGTACCCTTGTTAATCTTGGTAGGTATGTTAAGCACCTAAAATATGTATATTGATATCAAATTAATGTAAACAAACACCATACTATGTATATTATCAACAGGGTCATTCAGGTTCTTCCAAGAAGAAGATTGCAGAAACCTGGAAGAAAGAAGTTTGAGAGGGATCCAACCCTGTGTTGCCTGGCGGAACAACAACATCAATAGGTGCAATCAACCCAACACGAGCAGGAGCTCCCACCTGTAAACAAACATTTCAATATAACAAAATTCAAACATGAGTATATAGCGACTTAGTAGCTTAATTAATACTAAACTTTTTCATGCAACATATACACCGAACCCTCAACACAATACAGAATTATCTTTTCCGCACTTTTCATACACTTACATTTTCCATTTTGTAATTTCATCTTATGAGATTATATCCCTCGATTTTAATTGGAATTTTTTTATCTTTACTTTAAGTTAACATCTATATATAATAGAAAGGAAAGTGTTTAGTAACCAGCCTGATAGAAATACTGCCGAGGCACTTAATGCACAACCATGTGATCATTAATTTTTTTGTTAAAACCGCGAGGTTAAGCTAAAAAATGAATCCAAATTATACAAGTAAATTTCAGGCATTAACTTGAAAAAAAACTGAAAAATGAAATCTGTGAAATTGAAAAATAAAGATTATGTACAATGACAATATCAAAATTGATCGCGCAACTGAAACGTGTAACGTGATAATTAACATGTTAAATTGATAAGCACAAGCAACATAACCGAAACAAGGCAAGAAAATATCAATCAAACCATGCATGCATTGGAATATCTATATATAAACCATAAACTCTCTTCCAAACATGCTTTCCTGTACACATTTCATTACAGAAAAAAGAAGAAGAAGGGAAAACAAGTGCAACGATAATGACTGTACCTTGTACTTGCCAATCACTTCGCTAACCTCTTTCACGTCACCTTTGGTGAAAACCAACCCCACATTACCCTAATTCAACCAACAATACACGTATAAACATGAATGAAGCAATGTTATGTTTTGAATGGTTGAAAATGTTAAGCATTAATTAGTGTATATAAATATTGTGAGAATATTAAAGCATGCACTGACGACTAGAAGAGGAATAAGGTTGAGGAAGGCATCGTTGCCGGTTCTCTCGGCATGGAGTTTAACAGAGCGTTTCATCATGGTGTTCTTTCCCATGAGGACCACGGAGTCGCCACGTAGGCCCTGTCGAATGTTCTGAAGCTGGTTGGATCCCACGTTGTCCGCAGCCACGACCAGAATTTGGGTGTAGTTATCCAGAAGCCGACACAGTTTGGCATCGTACGCTATCTTCTTCTGCGCTTTCGTGAGTTTCGACGCCATTGATAATGCACCTTAATTCTTCTTCTACTTGGAGCGAGGACCAAGACAAAGTAAGCTAGCAAGGGCTCAGTCAAGGTGGACAGCGAAACGGCGCCGTCTCTTTAACCTCCTCTACGGTGGATATGTATCGAAGACGAAGGAAAAATTGTTAGAAATGAAGTAGAAGAGGAATATTAAGCTTTGGGAATACACAGTGTAACTGCAACCATTTTGGTTACTAAAATAGCCCACCATACTACTGCTCCTACGATCCTGCTATGTTTGACTAAATCGCAAACGGAAAAACAAATTAATCCCTAACTACATTATTATTAGTTACTAATTACGTCCTTAAAATAAATAAATCTAATAACAGTTTAATTAAAAAATCTTTTAAACTTAATTAAAAATCTGGAGGCTGTTTAAATTCAAATAAAAAAATTAAAATTTAATTAAAAAAATTGAATCAAACTAATTATTATAATTAAATACAATTATATATATTTAACTGTACTTTATTTATAATATATTTATATTTATTAAAATTATATTTCATTTTCTAATAATAAGATTATGTAATTAATTTATAAATATAAGAAAAAAATTATACATATAAAAAATTATTAAAAATATAATATACTACTTTATTTGACATTTTTTTATTAAAAAATATTAAGTATTATATTTTTTTTGTAAAAACTACTTCATAATGTTGAAAAAAAGTGATTACAACTTTTATAATAATAAAAATTAATCCAATTTATAAACAGAAAAATATTTTGATTTAGTTTAAATTTTATAATAAATTAACAAAAAAATTGAATCCTACTTAACTTTTATACTTGGTGTGAACGACTATTTAATAAAAAATTAAATTATATCCATTTATGAAGTAGTCGAGACATTACTGAATTTTAGTGATGATAATTATTTATTATTGTTGACATCACATTAAATGCCACATACATTTTTGTTAAATTAATATAAAATAGAAAAATATAATATTTTTGAAAAAAAAAATGAAACTGCAGAACTTTTTAAATTTAAAAGAACACCAGAAATACAATTAGAACTACTTTATTTAATAAATAAAAAAATCAACTCATAAGAGTACGTTGAATAGCAATATCAAAATCCATAACAAGAAAAGTCGCAGTTGAAATCAACTATAAGGGGGTGACAAGTAAGTTGGACTCTTACTGAACTGGGCAAGAAGTGGGCTTGGGCTTTGCTTGGACTCTTACTGAACTTACATAGGTGGCCCATTAAATATCACTTATGCATTTACATAGCATGGTGTCAGAGAATGGATTCGTTATTGAATGTTGTTTTTATTACGTTCTTTTAAGAAAACTCAATTTTTCTACCTATAATAATAATATATAGCTTTAGTTGAATATGTCATAAATATGAGGTTATGTTTTCTTAAATAGTAACAAAATAAAAAATTAATAGATAAAACTTTATTATATGTGAGTTTTTAATTTTATTGTTGAAAAGATATCAGTTGCGTGTTATTTTAACTATTTTATCTGAACTCAATTAAAAATTTAAATTAGTAATTATACTTTTTTAATAAAATATATAATTATTAAAAGAAATTGTATGTTTTGATGAGAGATTATGATAATATTGGATAAAGAAAATCATATACTAAAATAATAAATAAAGATTTTAGTTAAATATTATAGACATGGCAGGGATTTGAAGTAGTAGCATGTAGGGTTTGTAGTAGTAGTAGTAGTAGTAGATAGGGTTTACAGGAAGAGTGGTAGCAAACAGTGGAATGAAAGGGTAAATAAAGTAGAGAACTGGTTGGGAAGAAGAAAATGAAAGGACCATCTTCAATTGTTCGTTTTGCATTCATGTGTAGCGTCACTAATTTGTTACAGCAGGACTGGACCAAGAATCAAGATTCTTCACTTTAAAAACAATCGTGCAGGTTCAAGGTATACTTGTTTTCACACAATTTCTTTTAACTTCAAAACCATGCTCCATTCCCCATAAAAAACACATTTCCAGCACTTTCAAGCTTCTGTCCAAAAATACAGTGTCATTTCTTCCTCCTAATTTTTTAATTAAAAAGTGCAATTACTGACGATATTACTTACAAAATTATAAAGAAAGGATATATCAAAATAACTTAGTAAAATTAATTAACTCATTAACATATATTTATGTCTTTCATCATTTTTATATCAAAAATCTTAAACAATACTTAAAAGATATTGAAGTAACCTTTATGCCCTTTAGCCTTCTTCATTCTCATCGATAAGAGACATTAAAGCAAAATAATAATTTGAAAGAGGCCTTTAATTAAATTTACCAAACAATTTAGGATCTAGGATTTGAAATTATTATTTAAATTTTATTTTTTAAAACAACTTAAGTCAATGAAAAGATAAACTAAATATATGTAATCTAAGACTAACATTAGAATCATTTCTTATATTATTTAATAGGTTTCTTCAAGAAGGGACTGTGAACTTTATTTCTTATTTTCTTGATTGTTTGTAAATGCAATTACATCATTCGTTCGTATTCTTATTTATTTTTTAATTGTTTGATTTGATTCTCTATTCATAGAAAATTTCAGTAAGTTTTTAATTTTTAAAATATAATAATTTATGTATATTGAAATTAACGTTGATAATTTCAATATACATAAATTATTATATTTTAATTATAATTTGTTACTATGTGTAAGTTAAAATTATTAATATTTATTTATTAAATATAACCGTTAACTAGTTAAAAGTAAATTAGATCATTATGATTTTCATAATTAAGATATTTAATTAAACATTTTATTTACAGAGATAAAGAAATGAAAAAGGTACTGTTAAATTTAAATGCATTGTATTTATGACTCAATTTCCAATGAAAGCAATTTGATAATGTTGAGCATTCGTGGGTCGTCACCTCATAGGGCAATGAGAGCCCCAACCTACAAGCATACAGCATTTTAGGGGTATCATAGACTTTTGATTACATTTTTCACATTAAAAAGAAGTCTCACCGCTAAGTTCTCTGAAGATATTTGGCTTAAATTAAAACAACTTTTATCTATTAAAAATTATATAAGAAGAATTAAAAAACACTTTTTTATTTCAATAGAAAGTTCTTTAATAATTTAATCAGTCCACTTTTTAATATATATATATATATATATATAATTATTCATACGTCATTAGTTGATGTAATTTGTTTTCGAAATTTCAAAAGTGAAATCTAAAATATATAAGTAATTTTTTTTAAATTGCAAACTCACTTTTGATCTTTATAATTTCATAAATATGCAATCCTGACCCTGCACAATTTTAATTTCACATTTAAGAGTTAAGTTTATTAAAATTATACAATTTTGATATATAATGTTAATAATAGTTTATTTTATAAATAAAATTATATGTTTATAAATGATAACAGTATAAGTTACTTATTCACATTATCACATAAGATATTAATTAATGGGTTTAATAAGACGTTATATCAATGGTATCAATTTTGTTTTATTTAAAAAAAATAGAAACCAATTGTGTATTTAAAATTTTTATATGAACTAAAATTGTAGAATTGCGAAATTGTTTGAAATTTAAGTCTATTTTTTTCAATGTATTGTTAAAGCAATAAAATATGTCAACTTTATTAAAAAGGATAAATTACTGTATTTAAATATGGTTTAATTTAAGATGTATTTTTTTTCTGTAGTTTAATAGGAATTTATTACTTTATATAATAGATTTTTTTGGCAATGGTTGCACTGAAATTCAAATTTACAACATCATATGTATTACTCCAATCTCTCACTGATATACGTGATAATACTCCAATTTAACTATTAGGTTGTGGCTAAAATTGATTGAATAATAAACACAAAGGAAAAAGAGAGAGAGAGAGAAGATTACCACCAATTGATACAAGATTGTTCTATTAACCATCGAATTAAAATCCTAATTTTTTTTTTTTAATATTTAAAGAGTAAGTTTTGTTATCCCATAATTCTAGTGGACTCAAACCTATTGTTGTGGTTAAAAGAATAAAAAAAGATAAACTAGGCTATAAATGATTCTTTCAATGGGAGACCAGTCTACAGGTATCGAATATAATGATAACAAGTAGTGACTAATGACATTCACAAATGACAATATCAAAGTTGAAGTCTTGAGCCCCATATCACAATCATCATTCAACCCTAACAAACGAGGAAAGCTTGAAGCTGATGTTTTCTTAATTAGTTCTTGTTATTTACAGGAGAGACCTTATTAGTAATATTGAAAATAATCTTATCAGGTGGTCACAAATTGAATATGTTCCTCTTCAAGTAGTGGAGTAATGAAGAGAAAATGGTCACAAGTGGTGATCATGAATATTTATTCCAAAATTGTTCTGTTCTATTAAGACATAGACAATGTCATAAAATAATACGTTTTTCTTAATATATTTTCTTAATGTGCTGTCGTTTTATTGTCAATCGAAAAATGATAATCTTAATGTCATAAAAAAGGTAGGAGAAGGAGTATATATGTATGTATACTTGTTTGAAATAATGCAGTTGACAAAGCTTATAATTAATCCAATAATGGAAATGATTAACAGGTCGAAAACTAAAAAATTTGGTGAGACCCACAATTAGAAATAAGTAGGGTGAAAAGAAAGAATGAGTAAAGGAGTGATTACTTGGCAGCCATGCTAGTGCAACAAAAATGATAGCCATTGGCAAACATGATGAAAGTACTACTAAGGTGTTTCCAAAAACTAATTAAACCACCTACCCCATCTACACATAGATGAATTATAAAATATGAAGGCCAAGTGATTTTGGCACTTTGAAGTTTGTACTGCATCTCAACTTGTGCCCACACCACCAATCATTTTGCTGCCTTGCCATTCATATACCTTTGCTCTAATCATAACTCAGAAATGGGAATTCAGTACTTTATAGAATGCTAAGGAACTTTGGATTTGAGGATGGTCATACACACTACAAGTTTTGTGCCCAACATTCATTATTCTTGACCCTACATACATAATTATATCACATTGTAAGTTTCATGTTTAGTCATAGTAGAATCTGACTATTTACATAGAATGAATAAGAAAGATATGAATTTTATAAATTAAAACTTTGTTCTGTACAAAATGCTCACATCAAATGGACCTAATCGAAAGGAAAATGTTGATAAATGGTGAAAGGGTTGATTTGAATTGACGCCATGCTACCTAACATGTGTACCACTGTGGATTGTAGTAGCGAACTTTACGGAACCACTGTAGATATATCATGGTTCAATTTTTTAACCCACAATAATTAATACCATCAATAACAAGTGATAAACTATCCAAACAACTGCATGTATAATTCTTCATAATTCATCTACCACACACTTGTAATGTTCAGGGATTTATTTTTTCTTTCTTTCTTAACAGAAAACAGGAAGAGGATCAATGTTGCATAGCCATGCAGAATAGTATGAGAAAGGAAAAAAGGTGATTTTTAGGAGCAAATTATGGAAAAGTTGGTTTGGAAGCCTAATGAATGAGAAAGAGAGGCCCTCCACCCACTAACCACGTTGATTTAGTTTGTCGATAACGAAATCTAATGGAGATATTGGTGATAGAGATGAACCCCAATCCTTTTCCAAACAATGCTTTTCTCAGACCTTTTCTTTCCATCACCATTTAAACGTATATCTATAATACATGATAGAGATTTTCCTCAATTTTTCTCATCATTATTCACAAAAGGATAAATTGAACAAAAAAATGCGTCTACCAAATACATTTGTCATTTAAGTTCATGGAAGTGCTTTTAAATTTATTTAATACGATCCTAGAAAAAAATTAAGCAGTTAAATACTGTATTTTGCTTAAAAACGACTATATTATTAGCAAAGCAAGATTATTGTTTAAGCAAATGAAATGCAATAAGTAGAAATAGTAACGTGAATTGGACATTATATTCTTTCGCAGATGATGCTTCACCTAGACAATTCATAGTATATGTTCAATAATCATAAATTGAAAGTGTAGGTAAGTTAATTCTAACCTACAAACTCGCGTCCTTAACCATCTTTAACTAAAATTTACGTTTCCCTTAAATATAGTTGGTAAATCTGTAAGTTACGCAACTTCCAACAATCAGTTTTTTTACTCTTATCGGATTTGTTTTAGTGTTTTTCTTTGAGATATATTTCTATATTTAACTAGTAATTAAAAAAAAAAAAAAGACTCAACAATCGCCAAAGTAAAAACCAATCTCCTTTTATTCACCGATTTTCTTAATCACTAGTCTTTTTTATTTACATTTTTCATTTTTATTTCAAAATTATATCTTAATATATTTTTAATTTTTTATTAATTCATTATTTTAAAATGAATAATTAAAATAACATAGTACCATAATACATATTAATTATCTAATTTCAAAATATAAGTTATATATTCACGAGTATTTAGTTACTATAATATTTAATTATAATATCATTTATATATTTAGAATTGTTTTTATTATAATTTTTTGTTGTATAAAAATAAATAAGTTTTCATCCAAATTATTTAAAAATAACTGAAAGGGTATTAAAATATCGTGATAGTAATAAATTCAAAACATTTATTTTAAAATATTATTGAAAGTTTAAAACTATAACATTCTTTGACCCAAACTTTACGTAAACAATATAATATTTTCATCAAAATAATGTCAAAATGAGATAATTTTACATTATACAATACGAAAATTTATTTATTTAATTTAACTTATTTACTTGCTATTATCACTTTGTTTTTCAAGCAACTAAATCACTTTTATAAATCTTAAAATTGACCAATTTCCTTTTATTGATGAGTGTTTGGAGAAAAAAATATTATCAAGTAAAAAGAAATTAATTAAATACTATATTTAAATAATAACTAACAATACAACCACGTAAGTTTGTGAAGTATAAAAAAAATTAGACAATATAATATTAATTAGAAAACGTAGAAATTTAACAAGCAATAAATAATTTTATCTTTGAAATAAGCGAATAAAATAATGTTCTCTCCCTTATTTAGATGTATAGTAATAAGAGTATAATTTTTTTTATTGAACATAGAAATAATACAATTTTATTATATATATTTATCTTTATTATTTTATGAAAAAGAAACTAGTATTTATTCGTTTTTCCTTATTACGAAGTAATGTTATTTTAGGGAGAAAAGGAGGTATTTTGTATTAGATGGGAAAAGTGAATCAACTTTACTCATCACATATTAAGTTTAAAATATAAAATTTAATTAATTTCAAGGTAAGTATATAGAAAATATTTAATCACATACATACTTTATATTCTTAAGTTAAGTGAATTAACTCATAAATTTAATAGTTACTGATGTTAATATTGTTAATAATATTATAATATTTAGATAGTTAGCAAATATTATTAATTCAGTAGAAATCAAAATGAAAGATAGAAAACAAATATCATCACTTTAATAAATATAAATGTTATGATTTTTTTTTCCAATATGAAAACCAGTTAACATCATTCAAGTAAGTTTGACTGACGGATCAAGTAACTAGGTTGATTTTCATTTAAATTTACATTGACTTTAATATTTTCAATTCAATTTGACCGTTGTGACCTAAATTTAAGCAAAATTTTAACTAGTTTATTTGATATATTTTTTTATTAAATAATACACTAATTTCATTAAAATTTGTACAAACGAAATAAAAATTATGTATAATATTAACTTAAAATAAAATCAAATATAAAATATCTACTTTAATAATTATATTGTAATAATAAATTAATATATTATTATTATTATCATTTATTTTGCTATTGATTTGTTTAATCATATTATTTATCATGTAAATCAAACGTCTTTTTTTATAAAAAGACATAGAGACGCATAAAATTTTAAAAAATATAAAATATCTTGATAACAGTAAAGTTAACGTTTTAACAATATTTTATTGATAAAAAAGATATATACCATAAAATTATAATAATTAAAAAAATTATGGATATAAAAAATTAAATAAAAAATATATAGATGTAAAAAATATTAAATACAATATTATTAAATTTCAAGAAATATTATTATAATTCACTAAAAAAATATTTGTTTTATGATTAATAATATATTTTATTGATGGTAGTGATATTAATACCGATTTTATTGTGAAGGGGTTAACTATTTTAAGTTAATTTTTTATACATAAAATTATTTTTTTATTGTATTTTTACTTAAAAAATAATGTATTTTTTTATTTTATGATTTATCTATTTTAATAAATTTATAACTATAAATTTCACTTTAAATATTATAGTTATTCTTTTGTATTAGTATTAAATATTTTTAGTACGAGATAAATCAGTTACGTGTATTTATAATTTTTACAGAATGCCATTCTTTATTATAATATTATTGTGTACTTTGATTATATAAGTTTTTCTTTATTATATTGGTATATAGTATATAATAATACTTATACAAGTTTAAGTTATATATATTTTTTATATTCCTGAGTTTGATTTATAAATTTTATAAAACAAGAAATTTGTAAGAAATTATTAAATGGTTCATATTATTTTAAATAATTTTTAAAGCAACTTTCTATAAGTTTTACTTAAATATATATTTGTTTTTGTTATCATTAAAAATATAATGCAATTATAAAAAATATTGTTCGAAACAGAAAAAAAAATCAACAATATTCTTATGGGTAAAAATTCTCAAACAATATCAAACTTCAAGATAAAATTATATCATGTTTGATTGTGGGGTAAAAGCTAAAACTGCATAAAAAGAAGTCAAGGCTATGCTTAGTTGTCAATCAAGAAAATTGAATGGAGTTTATTTGAACGTTTGCAAAATTAAACATACAATTAATGCATTCACACATGAATGATGATAAAAATTTAATACTAACGGATGGTATCATTAGCTGTTTTTAAATAATTTCTGAACAAATAAACATTTTAGAATTGTTTTCTAATTTATTTTATCATGTTGCTTCTCTTTTGATAAACTAGTTATATGCAAAATCTTCCTTTATGGATATGTTAAAAAAAAATGGTGGAATGAGTAGTGTCACTGTCACACAAACGTCTGAAAATTACTATTCTACTGCTACATTCTCATTTCTCACCAACCATTTTAAAAAGTCTTGAGTGACAGCCAAACCAAAACGATCTCACAGTACCGGAGACAAATAATAGCATTCTAGAGAGACAGAGAATACAAAAGAAAGACCACACTATAAAGAGAAAGCCAAGCCAAACCAGAGACGTCACAAAGGTAACCACAGTTGAAACTTGAACACATTGTTTCTTGTTTTGCCTGTTGTCTATGGTTTCTTTCATTTACGTTTCTGTCAGATCCCCGTTCTCGAACTCCAAGAATTCAGCTTAACTCTCCTAACCTCACCTTTTTCACTTCCCATTATTTAATAATTCTAAGCACCACAGTAACTGTTTCTTGCTAGCTGGATTTCCGCAATCTACATGCATTGAAATTGCTACTATACTAGCTGCTTCTTCTGCCAATTCCTCGTGCATTTAACACGCTTAACTTTAAAAACTGGTTGAGGGGTAGTAGTAAAAAAGTGGAGATAGGAGCTGCTGCATGTAATTATGAAACTTTACCTGAGTGCGTGTTAAAGCCACAAGAACTGCCCATTGTGAGGAAAAAATGAGATAAGCACGCTTCGTTGGAAGGAGTTACAAGAAACCTTCCCTTATTTGCTACATCTTAAATCTCTCCCTTCCAAAGTTCTCAGTTATAAATTAAGAAGAGAAACGAACCCTTTCTACATTGCTCAAACTTCTTTCTTTGTTGTCTTCTTACATAATTTGGTACTATCTTTCACACACCAAAGTCTCTTCTCTGGTCAGACTTTACTTCAGTTTCTAACTCAGTGTGTGTTTTAACAGTTTGAAAAAAGATGTCACGCCAGAAGCAAGCAGAAGAAGTCATGATGTCAAGCCTCACCCAAACGGTGGAGCGTGAAGAGGGAGAGGAAGTAAAGGGGGATGCCTCACATTTTAACTTAAAAAATGCTCTCTGGCATGGTGGTTCTGCCTATGATGCTTGGTTCAGTTGTGCCTCAAATCAGGTAACAACATAAGTTAGGAAAGTGTCATATGATTTGCAGATATACAAGGTTTATGTGTATATAATAGCATTTGCTTTGAAAGGTCAAAATTTTAAATGAATTTCAGTATTTTCATGAATTGGTTTTGGCTCTTGGCTTGTGTTCATCCAATAAAATGAATTAAGAAATGTTTGTCTCATGATATGAAATGAGATTCTCAGGTTGTACACCATTTTGGTTTCTTTCTAAAGCAGGAGAATATAAAAAAAATGTTTTTATTTTTTCTGGTTCTTGTGATGTGCAGGTTGCCCAGGTTCTGTTGACTCTGCCTTACTCTTTCTCCCAGCTGGGGATGCTTTCAGGCATCATATTCCAAGTGTTCTACGGCTTGCTTGGGAGTTATACTGCTTATTTAATTAGTATTCTGTACGTTGAGTACAGAAGCAGGAAAGAGAAAGAGAATGTCAGCTTCAAAAACCATGTCATCCAGGTTAGATAACCAAGGAACCTAGATAACAAACAATTGAAAGACTTTTTACCCCTTTTCCAGCCTATACACAGTGCCATTTTTGTTTTTACTCTTAATACGGCCTTCAATTTTTTTGCAGTGGTTCGAAGTGTTGGAAGGCTTACTGGGTCCATACTGGAAAGCCATTGGATTGGCATTCAATTGTACTTTCCTCCTCTTCGGATCTGTCATCCAGCTAATAGCTTGTGCCAGGTTTCAATTTCCTCTCACTATTTAACTGTAAATACATTTTTATATTTTTTATGGATCAGTATATGTATGGACTATTATGTCATTTGAACTATTGTACTATGTTATAATCTGTAACCATGGCCTAATTGAAGAGTTTGAATTGAGCTAGATATGTATCATCCAAAAGATTTAACCTCTGTATCTTCATATACACTCTTACTTGTTTTTATATGCAGTAATATATACTACATAAATGACCACTTGGACAAGAGGACTTGGACCTACATATTTGGAGCTTGTTGTGCCACCACAGTGTTCATTCCATCATTTCACAACTACAGGATATGGTCCTTCCTTGGTCTTGGCATGACCACATACACAGCTTGGTATTTGACCATTGCAGCACTTGTTCATGGCCGGGTAAACAAAACCAAAAACAACCTGAATTGTTTTTCTCTGGTGGGGGTTTCTACCCATTGACACTGTTTCAACTAAACTTGGTTTGAAAACTGTTTTTTATTTTATAGGTTGAAAATGTGACACATTCAAGCCCAAACAAGTTGGTTTTGTATTTCACAGGCGCCACCAACATACTCTACACTTTCGGCGGGCACGCAGTCACAGTGTATGCACTTTTTAATATTTTGCTTATTAAGGTGGACAAAACAATGATGATATTGTTCTTTCTTTATTGTCTAGGACAGACACCAAAGAAAGATAATTGGAGAATTTCACTGCACGGTCCCTTTCTTCAATTGCACCTTTATCATCCTGCATTCATTCTAATGACCCTTGGAAATAAGACAAACATTATATGCAACAGCACTTTTGAATAACCATTACGATGGTGTCTTGGCTCACGGTTAATACCCTGTCATTAGAAATAAATATATTCAAACCCCACTTGAACGTTGTTTAAAGCCGGATTTGTAGCGTTCAGATTTTGATTCCCACTGAAGACTCCGTCAAAATGATATAAATTTTTACAGTGTATAAAATAAGAAGGGAGCGACATTTTACCCTACGGGTACGTTCTAGTTATTTATTTCACTCGAGTGAAAGGTGCTAGAGACACAAAAGCTCGACCATAAATATACACATTAATTATGTCTGTTTGTCTTTCCAGCATTGTCCACCATGAATTGTTTGCTAGTCCAACTAGCTAAATGGTGCCAAAAAGCCTGTGTTTACTTTTTGGCATTTTAATACACAATCCTTGATCTATCTTTGAAGTTCAATGGGTGGCTCGGTTTTCTTTAGTATAATTCATATTTTTCAATACAAAATATATATTAGAAATTCTCAAATATGTGTAATTTGTATGTATATGTTACAGAGACACTAATAGGGACCATGTGATATAACTATTGCAGGGAAATCATGCATGCAATGTGGAAGCCTCAGAAGTTCAAATATATATATTTTTATGCAACATTATATGTGTTCACCCTCACTCTACCCTCTGCTATTTCCGTTTACTGGGCCTTTGGTGACCGACTTTTGGATCACTCCAATGCTTTCTCACTTCTCCCTCGTACTGGCTGGCGTGACGCCGGTGTCATCCTAATGCTCATTCATCAGGTCCATATATACATTTTCCTTAATCATACATAATTTCAAAACTATCACGTGTCTATAGTCTCAACTAATTTTCAATCCTTGCTTTCACTCAATTATGTGTCGTGTGAAGATTAGTCGAGATCATAGTGATCTGGGACAGTGCAATTACTTTTCCTCTCCATACTTCACAATAAGTAATAATTAATGTATTGAACAAAGAATCTAATAACAATTACCAAGTCAAATGGCAAGAATAAGTTATAGTAACAAAGTATATCATAGCTTTAGTCTGTTAGTTAGTGACTGATGGTTGGTGTATTTGTACGTAACGTGCAGTTCATCACATTTGGGTTTGCTTGTACGCCATTGTATTTTGTGTGGGAGAAAGTGATAGGAATGCATGACACAAAGAGCATATGTTTGAGGGCTCTGGCCAGGTTACCTGTGGTGATACCGATATGGTTTTTGGCTATTATTTTCCCTTTCTTTGGGCCCATTAATTCAGCTGTGGGGGCCCTTTTGGTCAGCTTCACCGTTTACATCATTCCTGCTTCTGCCCATATGCTCACCTTCAGATCTGCCACCGCAAGACAGGTATGATCCAATCTCTCCACATCTTATCTTAACATCTTTCTCTCTATTTTCTACCTTATATGTCTCATCTCACTATCATATTTCATCACATATGCTGATACACTCAACTTTCAACCTCGGTTTCCAATTGCTAATAATGCTACCCACCCTAGTAGCTCATGGTACTAGAAATTTTGAACTTTGTTCTCTTCTGCATCTAAAAGGCTACACTACCTATCATGAACTGTCTATTTTCTGTTATCATATCTAACTCATCTAAGCATCTAAAGAATCCTTGTAACCACTTTTTGTGGTGTGGTGTTCATATTTGAGAATATGATTCCAGCTTAATTTGTGATTTAACAGGAAGTGACTTCTTACCTCCCAGGTAGAGTTAGAATTTGATAATTTATGAAACAAAATGAAGTTGGTGCCGTTTCATTGTCAATTGTCATATAGTTATATGCTATAGTATAGTCACACCACCACCGTGTACTACTATGCTAACCACATGTTAACAATGAGCTGGGCTATGGCCAACCAGCACAACCTAACACTCTTACGTGATCCTTCACAGTTCTCACCTCACTACCCCTATTCCAACCATTTGGCTTACGAGCAAGCTAACGATTTTGAAGCTGATTATCTGATTATTTATTTTGGTATTTGAAACAGAATGCTGCGGAGAAATTGCCCTTCTTTATTCCAAACTGGACGGCGATGTATGTGGTGAATGCACTTGTGGTGGTGTGGGTTCTGGTGGTGGGCTTTGGGTTTGGAGGGTGGGCCAGCATGACAAACTTCATCAAACAGGTTGACACATTTGGACTATTTGCCAAGTGCTACCAGTGCCCGCCCAAATTAACCAACCACACCTTGCATCACTGAAAAACACTATGTTTCTTTATTTCTATGTAGGGTGGCATCTGCATCTGCACCTGCATCACCCCCTTTTGATGCTGTGTTATCCCTATTTTTTCAGTTTAATCTCCTTATAAACACATTATTGTGAATGCCTATGATCCCTATGTAGCAAGCAATATTGCTTTTGAAGATATAATATTATACAACAATTTCTTACCATGCATCCTACAGTATCACTTCTTTTTTTGTTACAGTACTTACTTTGATAATCACTTGGGCTCATCATGGACATCACTATAGCTGGCCTAGGGATTGATGGTTTGCATAAAGGCACATCAAGTAAAGCCTTCACAAGTCTGTATGATAGCTTCAATTTTTAACAAGATCATGCTACTCCATCTTACACCTAATCATTTCCATCATTATGGCTAACATTAGCCCAGAGTGTTCTGCTTTGATTGATTTTGAGAGACGAACCTGACCTCTTATTACTCGAGCTACATATATTCTGAATTTCTCTGTTTCAAAATGAGCTTTTTCATAAATTTTATATACGTTTTATGGAGAAATTACTTAACACCACTATACACATAATATATATGAACTGATATAATATCAAAATTTAATCCATGGATATACTTGCGTAAGATACTTAATCAGTTTTACATTATTGGATTATTAATTTTTAATCTTAATTATACATCTGAAACAATATTGTTTTTTTTTTTTAATTTCTCTCGTTTTTAATATTATTTTTTAATTCAAACAAATTTTTCTATCTATTTTCGTACCAAAAAGTAACACCCCTTTAACAAATATTTGGGCCTTCTTCTATGATGAGATGGGTCGTAACATAATATCATGACGAAAGGTGGTGTGACCATGTTTAACCAGCTAAACTTGTGTTATTCACTTTTTTACTGGTTTATACATAACAATTTAATTTACTAAAATGACATCTCCATCAAATTTTTAAGTAAATCTAAACTTTATCAACAAAAAAAATTCTCATAAAATAACTAGAGTTTACAAATTTTATTCAATCACAAAATCAACAATACTCCACTCCAGCTCTTTATGTTAACATACAATGTTATATAAATTATAAATAAATGGTCACTATCTGATTATGTATATATAATTTATTAAATCATGTGAAACTCTATATATGAAATTATCAGATAATATGCATGATTTAATTATTATTATTATTATTATATAATATTTATTATAATTCAGTTCTTTTTTAAGAATTATTTTTATTCCTCTATTATCAATTTTAAAGTTTAAGATATTACTAATTAATTATTTTTCAATCATACATTCACATTTACGTATTTTTTAATTGTTTTACAAATTTATTATAAAATGTGTGGGAATAAAGTAACATTATGATCATATGGTTAGAATTAATTTAATTAATTCATTCTATTATATAATTAATGTGAAATATAATGATGGACCCAAATAAATTTAATAAAATATAAGTACCTATTGGTTATTACGTGAAGTTAGAATAAAATAAAGATAAAATAAAATAAAAACTTACCGTAACCAACTTAATGGATGTTGGTTAATAAAAGGGATTAAGGTTTTGTTTTTGGATATAAGGTTTTTTCACTATAAACCATCGGAAAAATGTGATAAGAGAAAAAAGATATAGAGATAGATTGAGAATAGGAGGTTGGAGAATAAAGAGACTAAAGAACATACTCTTATGGATCAATGTTAGTCTTCTTCCTATGATTCATGTATTCATATTTATGATTTTCCTCTTATGATAATTTTTTCCAAATTAAGATAAGCCCTAATTATAAATTTAGGATTTTTCTATCAGATTAGCATGAATATTAATTTATTCCCAAATTTGTTTTTCCCAAAATTGAATAAAGGAATAAACCCTAATTATGTTTTCAAGTTCAAATTAAAACCAATTTTATAGCCCTATGCGTGAATGACCCCGTAATTGATTTTAATTGAAAAGACAAATGATGTGATTGAGTTAGGGTAAATCATGTATGAAATTGGTTTCACTGCATGTTATAGTTATCACGGAATAGTTACGATGGATGATAGAATGTATGTTATAATTACGATAGAAGAAAGATAAACAGTAAAGTTGATGCTTTTATGTTTTTACTAACAAGTGTTGTTAGCATGCATTATGCATCGTGCTCGCAAAACACATTTGCCAAACCCATGTTTCTTTTTATTATGCATGATTATTATATGTTGTGGGAGACCTTTTTGGTAGTGAATAATTAGCAGTTACGTTAGATCTACATATTATTTGTCCACGTATAATATGTGTAGTAAATGTATGTTTGATGACGGTTGATAATGCACTGTCACGGGATGTGCCCAGTTTACTTTTCGTGTTATGTATAAATAAATGGTTGCCACTGTTATGAGATGTACCTGTGTATAAATGCCTTAATTGCAAATTATGTTTTGTAAATTAAATTGAATTATTTCCGCTATAAGTTGCACATAAAAGTTTTGAATTGACAATTTCAATAAAATAAATGTCTTAGGATTAAAAATCAATCCTATAATGGAAATTGAAATTATGAGTTTCAATTTTATTTATGACACACAATATTTTATTATGTGAATAATGTACATATTTATTAAAATTATTAATAATAATAATAATACTATGAATGGTTAATAGCAATTAAAGATGTTATTTATTTGAAATTAAACATGATAAATTTTGTTAATCACTAAAGTGGCTAAAATTTTAAGGTTATTATGATTTCAAATTATTAATGATTTTATTTCAATTACCCATAATATGAACGCTAAAATTATGAATAATTGATTTATGGGTTAATTGAAGTTCATTATTATAAGACATTTCAGAATCACCCAAAGGTTGATTAATTGTTATTATAATTAATGAGCATAAAGGTGGATAATTTTGTGTGCATCACTAGTTTTATTTATATACCCAAAGGTGTTAGGTGATTCTAGTTGATGCATATTTTAATTATCATTAATGTTATAAAATGATTAGCGTAATTATGTTTGTGTATTAGTGAATCTCCCAAAGGAGAACATTAGTATTCATATAATGATTATTTATATTTGAATATGTATTTATGTTTAATTTTTATGACTCAAAACGTTAATGTTAGACATGTGTTAATTGCAGTATCTGTATATGTTCCTGTAGCACTACATTCGCTTTCTTCGTCTGTTCCAGTTTTAATGGATTAAATTTCTCCGATTGGAATGAACAAGTCCAATCTTAGATGTGTTGGATCTTGATTTGACTTTCCAAGTTGAAAAACCAGTTATTATACTGATGCTAGTAGCAATAAAGAGAAAACTCATTATAGAGCTTGGGAAATATCAAACAAACTTAGACTTATGTTTATGCGAATGAGTATAGCAAATAATATTAAGTCTACTCTTCCTAAAACTGAGGACGCGAAGGAGCTTATGAAATTTGTGGAAAAACACTCTCAAACTGCTGACAAATCTCTCGCTGTGACATTGATGAGTACGTTGACCACCATGAAATTTGATGGTTCTTGTAGTATGCATGAACACGTAATCGAAATGACAAATATCGCAGTAAGACTCAAGTCTCTTGGAATGACAGTGGAAGAAAATTTTCTTATGTAGTTCATTTTGAACTCGTTACTGTCTGAGTATGGTCCGTTCCAAATGAATTATAACACCATGAAAGACAAATAGAATGTGTATGAATTGCACAGTATGTTAGTTCAGGAGGATACTAGACTCAAGAACCTAGGAAGCCACTCTATTCATTACGTGAAAAATCAAGGAGCTAAAAAAAAAGTTGTTAAGAAACATGAAAATGGTAAAAGACCATTAAAGACTAGCGAGTCCTCTACTAACATTCAGAAGAAAAATGACAAATATAATTTTTGCGGAAAGTTTGGACATTTCTAGAAGGACTGCTTAAAGCATAAAGCTTGATTCGAAAAGAAAGGTGAGCATAATGCTTACGTATGTTTTGAATCAAATTTAACTGAAGTTCCCCATAATACTTGGTGGATTGATTCTGGGTATGAATCATGTTTCTAATGTGATGCAGGGATTCCTTTCAACCTGAACCATAAACCCAAATAAGAAGTTCGTCTTCATGGGGAATAAAGTCAAGGTTCTAGTGGAAGTTGTCGGGACTTATCGTTTAATCCTTGACACTGGATATCACTTAGACCTTATGGATACTTTTTATGTACTTAGTATCACTAGAAATTTAGTTTCTTTGTCTAAGCTTGATGTTGCTGGATACTTTTTTAAATTTGGGAATGGTTGTTTCAGTTTATTTAAGCGTACTGGTATGATTGGAACTGATACACTTTATGATGATTTATATAAATTGAATTTGGATAATTTATATGCTGAAACTCTCATGATCTTGCATCATAATATTGACACTAAGCGTAGTTTGGTGGATGAACGATCTATTTACTTGTGGAATAAGCGTTTGATACATATTTCTAAAGAAAAAATGCAAAGATTAGTAAAGAATGAAATCCTTCCAGATTTAGATTTTACTGATCTGAATTTATGTGTGGAATGTATTAAAGGCAAACAAATAAAACACACAAAGAAATGAGCCACAAGAAGCACTCAACTTCTTGAAATCATACACACTCATATATGTGGTCCATTTGACATAAATTCTTTTAATAAAGAGAAGTATTTCATACCTTCATTGATGATTTCTCACGTTATGAACATGTCTATTTACTACATGAGAAATCTCAAGCAGTAGATGCCTTAGAAGGTTATATAAATGAAGTGGAGAGACAATTAAACAGAAAGGTGAAAGTGGACAACACTCTGGTCCGTTTGCTAAGTTCCTTGAGAAGCGTAGTATTTGTACTCAATACACAATGACAAGCATACCACAACAAAATGGTGTGTCTGAAAGGTATAATCAAATCTTAATGGATATGGTTAGAAGTATGTTAAGTAATTCATGTTTAATTGTATCGTTGTGGATGTATGCTTTGAAAACTGCCATATATTTGTTGAACAGG